GAAAATGCATATACATTACTATTTGTTAACCATCAGATGAAGGTGTATTCCATTTTCAAAATTAAATTAAAAGGCCAATGTGAAATGAAAGGTTGAAAGTGAGCGCTATAAAAGCCCGTTACTGTTAATCTAAAGTATATCCATTAACCTCAATTAATTTCAGGTGATCCCTTATTAAGGAGGATAGGAGGTAAGTAGAGTATTCATGAAAAGCTATAATAAAAGGTCGATAAATTGAAATATTCAAACAGCATGCGGGTCGACCCTTACCATGTGACAATGGCCCGAATCGAGAGATTTATAAATTATTTCAATAAGAGTTTTAAATAATAAATTTATATTTGGCTCCTTTAATAAAAAGGTACGAAGACCTCAGTAGGCTTTTTAGATTTATTGATGAGTTTGCCCACGGTCGGCGGCCAACCTCAACGGAGGCTAGCCATCTGAACTGACTGACTCTGAGCTTTTTTTGAGAGAAAACCTTAATAACTGACTTTAGCTTGACAAAGGATTCGAACCCTACAACCAATGAGGCAGTAGCGGAGACTAGCCATATGAACCGACTGTATCTGAGAATTGCTTGAGAGAAAACCTTAATAACTGACTTTAGCTTGACACAGGATTCGAACCCGACAACCAATGAGGCAGTAGCGGAGACTAGCCATATGAACCGACTGTATCTGAGAATTGCTTGAGAGAAAACCTTAATAACTGACTTTAGCTTGATAAGGGATTCAAACCCGACAACCAATAAGGCAGTAGCGGAGGCTAGCCATATGAACCGAATGACTTCGAGAATTTCTTGAGAGAGAACCTTAATAACGGACTTTAGCTTGACAAGGGATTCGAACCCGACAACTAATGAGGCAGTAGCGGTGGCTAGCCATATGGACCGACTGACTCCGATAATTTCTTGAGAGAAAACCTTAATAACTAACTTTAGCTTGACAAGGGATTCGAACCCGACAACCAATGAGACAGTATCGGAGGCTAGCCATATGAACTGACTGACTCCGAGAATTTTTGAGAGTAAACCTTAATAACTGACTTTAGCTTGACAAGGGATTCGAACCCGACAACCAATGAGGCAATCGTGTTTACCTATATAGTATATTTGATAACACAGTAAGATATAGATAAGGTGACAGTATTTTTTTATATAAAATTCAATTTATAAACGAAACTACAGTCCAACTGATGGTAAGTAGCAACTGCCAATTTTTAATGTGTATTGCGGGCTGAAATAACGGTTTTAATATTACCATTGGTAATCCTTTATCTAGTTTCTACATGTTCAATCTATACCTTTTAGTCAAGTATATCGTAAAAGAAACCTGTTGGAGATGAAACTTACAAATTTCAGATATATTTTTATGAATGACAGGATAAATAAAAATTGAATTTCATAGCATTAATAGGTCTATTATAAAACAATCTAAAGTACTTGAACAAAACGAGCGGCACAAAGCGTTCATTAACAAATGGTTAGGGCCGTCAGCTGCTGCGATGGCACAGTTTTTATATCTCTGCACGCTTGTGACCTCGAATCGAAGAATTTAATCTGAAAATTGCTTGCTTAGCGGATTTCCATCGCTTTGGACATAAAACAAAACGATATCGCCTCTGATCTCGTTGTGTAATTATATCACGGTTTAATACGCCCGTACTTTATACGTCACTCTTAAAAATAAGATTAAAACGTGTAGTGTTATGCTACTTACTTATCATTTTACATTATTTTAAATTCATTTTTCCATTCTGTTTCGATTTTCTGCATTCACCTCAAAACTGGATATTTTACATCACCTTTATTTCCATAGGATCCTGTAACGATTTTAAACCATAAGAACACAATAACAAATCATTTCTACTTCGTATTTTCACATTATCAGCACTTTTAAATTGGTGTCAATGGAGTCTACCTTTTTTCGATCTTTTATTTAGTTTTCCGTAACTCTGCAATTTCGGGCTTTGTGCCTGCAGTTGCGCTACCTTTTTTCCTATATCAATAATATCTCATTTTTCACTTAAATCTTGCCGTTTTTTTATTACAAGCCTAAAACCAAAATTTGACATGTTTTGACATTGTTGTTTATTTGGTCTCTATGGCAATTATATTCAAATTTGCTACCGGTCTGTTGTTTCTATTTCGATAATTCCACATAAATACTCTTTTCTCTTGACCATTTACAAAAAAATTGCGTTTAATTTAAATAATTTTTCCGTTCTCTCTAGAAAGGTATAAAAGCCGAACAATCGGTGAAGAAATGCAGTCTTGCTTCAGTTCTCGAATTGGAAGCATCTTCTAAAGGCCTTATCCCGGGGCCGCACTGCCCCGGGATCCTGCAAGCCTCTGTCCTGCCTGAAGCCACTGGACTCTACGAACCTCTGCTCTACCTGAAGTCGCTGGACTCTACAAACCGTTGCTCTGCCTGAAGTCGCCGGGATCCTACAAGTCTCTGCTCTACCTGGAGTCGCCGGAACCTGCAAACCTCGGTTCCGCCTGAAGTCACCGGAACCTGCAAACCTCTGTCCCGCCTGCAGTCACCGGATCCTGCAGGCTTCTGTGTTGTCTGAAGCCGCTGAGGATCCTGCAAGCCCCTGTCTGGCCTGGAATCGCCGGATCCTGCAATTACCACATTTACCGGAGGTCGTCGCCTAGAGACGCCCACGCCTTCTCACCTACGCCGTGCGTGCTCGTTCCAGGCGCTGAGAGCACACCTTGGATCTTCAGACTCAGCTTCGGCACAAATCTCTTTTTTTTTTGTTACTTTTTTTTTAAATAATCTGTAAATCGCATCATCCATCCTCATATTCATACTCCATTTTTGTTATATAAAACTGTAAATATCTTTGAATCTTAAATATATTTTTTGTTTTTGTTGTATTTTTGTTGTTTTGTTGTTCTTAGGTTAGATTCTTTTTGTTCTTTATTGTCGCTTTACGACATTTGGCGCCCAACGTAAAAGTTCTCTTTCTCTTCTCTTCACCTTTACTGCGCCTTGTCCATTCCTTTTGATTTAATTGCTTCCTCTTTCGTTCTTAACTCTTTATTTATTCATCCTTTTCATACCTTCCAAATTCTAAAACAACACTTCATCTAGTGTTTCAACTTATCTGGATTATATTTAGACCTACATTTAACACTTACATTCATCACTTTAATAATTTTATTGTAGATAATCTTCCAAATTCTAAAACAACACTTCATCTAGTGTTTCAACTTATCTAGATTATATTTAGACCTACATTCAACACTTCACTTACATTCATCACTTTAATATTTTTATTCTAGATAACTTAAAGAGGTATAATTTTTAATTAAATTTTTATTTCTTAAACTTAACTTTACACTTAATTATAACAATGAAAAGGGTTATTAAGTACGAATTCCTTAACAAGGCCGAACTCGAATACGAAGTGAAGATTAGATGTGAGGAACCAGCTAATACTGTTTTACTTCTAAAAAAACAGGTTTTGCGTTTAGTTGCGAATTCTCACCCTGAAGATATTCTGACTTCTCCAATTCCGATTGAGGATGACTTGTCTCAAATTGATTCTACTTTGACTTACTTGGACTGTAAAATTAAAAAATGTTTTCAAGGCGAAACCAAATACTTTTATTAATCATGTCTTTTACAGATTGGAATGAATAGATACTGACTTATATCCAGACTTTAAAGCTATTTTCGATACTTTGAAGATGAAATATGACGATATTACTAAACAATTTGAATCCTTGACTCCAGCTCCAACTGAAAATGACCCTCCATCACTTGACCCTCCTGTTGACCCGACTGTCACGGTTGACCCGACTGTCACGGAACTCCCTCTTGTTTCTCAAACTTCTATTCAGGTCCATACCCCGTATCCTCCACCACCACCTCAATCTTTTTCTCCAACCAACGTCTTCAAAGATCTGAAAAGACACACCTTCAATGGTAAAAGCTGTCCAAGATCCTTTCTTCAAAAACTGGAAGAATACTGTATAGCTCGTGGCTTGTCCAAAGACTTGTTGATTTCACAAGCGTTTGAAATTTTCACTGACAATGCTCTTCATTGGTTCAGATTTAAATATAATCAGAATCCAAACTTAACGTGGAACGAACTTTCTTCGTTATTAATCAAAGACTTTGGTGGTTTTGATTATGATCACAAACTTTTAGAAGCGATTAGGAATCGAACTCAAGGTCGAGATGAACCTATTGTCATCTATATTTCCATCATGTCTGGAATGTTTTCTCGTCTTTCGAAGAAACTTTCTGAAACAGAACAATTGGAGATTATTTTGAGGAATATTCGCCCATGTTATTCAGTCTTCGTAGCTCTAAAAGACATTGACTCTATCGACTCTCTTTTGGCTACTTGCCAAAACTATGAAAAATTCCTAGACAGAGACAAACAATTTAAAGAACCAAACGTACAACAAAGTCCTCTTATTTCTGAATTCAACTACAAGCATTCCACTTCAAGTTCAGTTGACTCTCCAAATTCTTCTAATAACTCACGACCTTCTCCTCCCCTCATGAATAAATTCACTTCATCCTACAAATACCCTTCTAGACAAGTTAATAGTCTCTCTCAAACTAAAGCTCCTCAAGAAAGCTCCTTTTGTGTTCGCTGTCGTAAACAAGGTCATTTTTTGAACACCTGTACTCAACCACGATTCGTGATTTGTTTCAAATGTGGTCTTAAGGGTTTTAAAACTGCAGATTGCCCTACTTGTTCTCCCAAACCTAATACTAGTTCAAAAAACTAACTACTGACTTGAAAAGTAACTTAAACTTTGATAACGACGATTGGACTAATTGGATTAAAACAATTCAAAACTTCTTTTCTTGTTACAAAATCTCTTCTACACTCTACTCCAAGGAACAAGATCTTAATCGTCCATTCGTTAATGTCAAAATTTATAACTTAACTTTATCTGGTTTACTAGATTCTGGCAGTTCAGTAACTTTTCTGGGTAATAATTCTCATTTGGAAATTCTTAAACTGGGCTGCAAATTTTCAAGTCAGATCTTATTACTGTCTCTACTGCTAATAATCAAAAAGTTAATTCCTTGGGTTATTTTGACTTACCTATTCATTTCAATAATCAAACTCATTTAATTAAAGCTTACGTTTTCCCTGAAATATTTCCTTCGCTAATATTAGGTATTGACTTTTGGAGAAAATTTAATCTCTTACCTAGTGTTTTATCTTCTCTTAACTTTACAGAATCTAAATGTTCTGCTATCGAAACTAAAGATACTAAAGTTTTACCTTATGAGCATTTAACTCCTAATCAAAAGAACATCGCTAATGACATCATCCAACGCTTCAAGACAATTTCTTTTGAAGAAAAAGGTATCCTGGGATGCACACACTTAATCACCTACAAGATTGACACTGGTGATTCTCTTCCAATCAAACAAAGATGTTACAGACTGTCTCCTGAAAAACAAAAGGCGTTAATTAATGAAGTTGACAAGATGCTGCGATGGAACGTCATTGAACAATGCGAAAGTCCTTGGTTATCTCCAGTTCTCATCACTCCGAAGAAGAATGGTGAATGGCGTTTCTGCGTAGACAGCAGGAAGCTTAACTCAGTTACACGTCGTGATGCTTATAGTCTGCCACTAATAAGCGAAATTTTGGACAACTTGAGGAATGCCAAATACTTATCAAGCATCGACATTGCGAAAGCATTTTGGGAGATTCCCTTGAATCCTGCCGATAAGGATAAAACTGCATTTTATGTACCTGGAAGAGGTATGTTTAGATTCAAGGTAATGCCTTTTGGTCTTTCTAACTCACCTGCAACTCTACAAAGATTAATGGATATGCTTTTTACTCCTGAATTTGAGAACAAGGTATTTTGCTATCTGGACGACATCGTTATCATTAGCGAGACTTTTGATGAACACATATCACTCCTTATGAAAGTTCATGAAAAACTTTCATATGCTAATCTGACTATTAACTTTGAGAAGAGTCAATTCTTCAGGAAAGAACTGAAATACCTTGGTTTTCTAGTGGACGAGTACGGTCTAAGTGCTGATCCAGATAAAATAAAAGCTATATTAGAATATCCTGTACCTATTTGTAGAAAAGAAGTGCGAAGATTCATAGGCACCTGCAGCTGGTTCAGAAGATTCATTACAAACTTTAGCACTATTGCCTCTCCACTCAATCAACTAACCAGTTCCGGGAAGAACGCTCCTAAATTTCTTTGGAATTCACAAGCTGCAGCTGCTTTCCAGAAACTTAAAGAAGCTTTGGTAACTGCTCCTGTCCTTGCTTGTCCTAACTTCGAACTACCCTTCTCTGTACATTGTGATGCATCAAACTATGGCATAGGAGCAATACTTACTCAACATCAAGATAACAAAGAAGTCGTGATTGCTTACATGAGTAAAGCACTAAACAAAAATCAACAGAACTACTCAACTACTGAAAGAGAAACATTGGCTGTAATAACTGCGTTAGAACATTGGCGATGTTACCTAGACAATGGTAAAGAATTTACAATATATACTGACCATGCTGCACTTAAATGGCTTCAAAACTTATCGAATCCATCAGGAAGACTTGCTCGCTGGACTTTACGCTTATCTTGTTTTAACTTCGTCCTGAAAAATAAAAAAGGAAAGGATAACGTTGTTCCAGATTTATTATCAAGACATAAGAATCAAGAACGTCCTGATACACGAGAAATTTCACCTCAAGGCGTACATCCTATTACGATTGAAGAACCACCTGATCGTAAACTTGAGCACTACAACAAGATTTTTCTCGGATGCTCCAACAACCCAGACTCATATCCCAACTACACTATCAGGGATAACAAACTTTACCGCTGCATCCATTCTCCCGATCGTCTAAACGATGACTTTGTTTGGAAAGAAGTTCTACTACCTCAAGATAGACATGCAATTATTGAAGTTAACCATGGTTCCCCTTCAGAACTCCATCTTGGTATCTTCAAGACATTCAAGAAAATATCTTTAAAATGCTATTGGCCTGGTATGTTTAAGGATATTGCCAATTTAATCTCAACTTGTGAAACCTGCTTAACCTACAAACACCCTAATCATTCTCCCTATGGTCTTATGGGTAAACCTAAACTTTGCTCCAGACCTTTTCAAACTATATCCTTAGATCTTATGGGTCCATTGCCTATGACTCGAAGACGAAATCAGTATATTCTAGTAATTAACTGCAATTTTACTAAATATACTATGATTTTTCCCCTTAAACGTGCTACTTCAGCTAATATTATTAATGTTTTGGAAAATTCAGTTTTTCTAGTTCATGGCATTCCCCAAACTATTATAATGGACAATGCTGTTCAATTTCAGTCGCGAGAATTCCACTCATTCTTAAATTCTTATAACGTTCCTTTTATTTTTCACACAGCTTTATATTGTCCTCAGGTTAATCCTACGGAGAAGTTTAATAGTACAATTATTACAGCTCTAGCATCTCTAGTAGGAGACGATCATAGATCATGGGACAACCATCTTACTATAATTCAGTACGCAATGAACAGCGCTACAAATGTAGCTACTGGCTTTACTCCAAACTTTTTAGTCTTTGGTAGGGAAACAATACCTTGTGGTTCCTTCTATACTCCAACTCAGAACCTCGAGGAATTAATATTTATGCCTCGTGATATTTACGCGTCTAATGCTGGTCTCCTCTCATCTATCTTTCACAAAGTTCAAACTAAACTTCACATAGCGCACGCTAAAAATAGCGCTCGCTATGATCTTCGCCGGGCTTTTAAAGAATTTAATGTGGGAGATACTGTTTGGCGTAAAAACCATGTTTTAAGCAATGCCGGCGCATACTTTAATGCTAAACTTGCCCCTAAGTTCATCAAGTGCAAAGTGATAGCTAAACTGTCACCACTAGTCTATGTGCTTGAAGACCCTAATGGAGTTAGAGGCAAGTGGCACATCAAAGATGTAAAATCATAAATTTTCTTAACTTTTATTAACCGTTAATTTGTATATATGTATAAATATCACCATCATTCTCACCTTATTATTTTTATTTCTTTTGTTTGTTTGTTTGATGATCCAGTGTTCTTCAACACATCTTGCTTTAGGACCTCGAACTTTCGTTGGTTAATCGTCACTTTTTATTTTTATTTCAGACACATCTCGTTGGTGATGTTGCTGATCTCTGGCTTTAAGCCCTAACGCTCTGGCCGTTCTTAATCTTTACTTAAGTCATAGCGACTAAAGCTTGCTTAAGATTGATTTCTTTATCTTTATCTTAACTTGGGAGCGGCTGACTACTCCCTTAATATTTTTTTTTTCTCCACGCAGGAGCGGATGACTACTCCTTAAATAAGCCTGAATGTCCTTTCGAAAACACACTTTTAGAGTGGTAGTCATTGAATGTGAACTCCACCCTTACTTGAATGGCAGATGATGAATGTAAGAGATAGTATATCTGGTTTTGCCTGGTGATGTCTGTTTCTGCAAAGCTGTGTTTTTATGGTTTATTTTAGAATGTATATATCAAAATTTTTGCTGAGTCAAATTTTTTATGGAAAAAATTTAGAATGTATATATCAAAATTTTTCCAGGGTCGGGGGTAAAATGTAGTGTTATGCTACTTACTTATCATTTTACATTATTTTAAATTCATTTTTCCATTCTGTTTCGATTTTCTGCATTCACCTCAAAACTGGATATTTTACATCACCTTTATTTCCATAGGATCCTGTAACGATTTTAAACCATAAGAACACAATAACAAATCATTTCTACTTCGTATTTTCACATTATCAGCACTTTTAAATTGGTGTCAATGGAGTCTACCTTTTTTCGATCTTTTATTTAGTTTTCCGTAACTCTGCAATTTCGGGCTTTGTGCCTGCAGTTGCGCTACCTTTTTTCCTATATCAATAATATCTCATTTTTCACTTAAATCTTGCCGTTTTTTTATTACAAGCCTAAAACCAAAATTTGACATGTTTTGACATTGTTGTTTATTTGGTCTCTATGGCAATTATATTCAAATTTGCTACCGGTCTGTTGTTTCTATTTCGATAATTCCACATAAATACTCTTTTCTCTTGACCATTTACAAAAAAATTGCGTTTAATTTAAATAATTTTTCCGTTCTCTCTAGAAAGGTATAAAAGCCGAACAATCGGTGAAGAAATGCAGTCTTGCTTCAGTTCTCGAATTGGAAGCATCTTCTAAAGGCCTTATCCCGGGGCCGCACTGCCCCGGGATCCTGCAAGCCTCTGTCCTGCCTGAAGCCACTGGACTCTACGAACCTCTGCTCTACCTGAAGTCGCTGGACTCTACAAACCGTTGCTCTGCCTGAAGTCGCCGGGATCCTACAAGTCTCTGCTCTACCTGGAGTCGCCGGAACCTGCAAACCTCGGTTCCGCCTGAAGTCACCGGAACCTGCAAACCTCTGTCCCGCCTGCAGTCACCGGATCCTGCAGGCTTCTGTGTTGTCTGAAGCCGCTGAGGATCCTGCAAGCCCCTGTCTGGCCTGGAATCGCCGGATCCTGCAATTACCACATTTACCGGAGGTCGTCGCCTAGAGACGCCCACGCCTTCTCACCTACGCCGTGCGTGCTCGTTCCAGGCGCTGAGAGCACACCTTGGATCTTCAGACTCAGCTTCGGCACAAATCTCTTTTTTTTTTGTTACTTTTTTTTAAATAATCTGTAAATCGCATCATCCATCCTCATATTCATACTCCATTTTTGTTATATAAAATTGTAAATATCTTTGAATCTTAAATATATTTTTTATTTTTGTTGTATTTTTGTTGTTTTGTTGTTCTTAGGTTAGATTCTTTTTGTTCTCTATTGTCGCTTCACGACAAACGATAAGAAACAGAGTATATGCTCCTCAAAGTTAAGACTACTGCTATTGGGTAGTAATAATTAAAGGAGAATGCCAGATCGTGCCCCACTTTTTACAAAAAAGGAAAAATATGAAAAAAAATCTTATGAATTTTCAAGTTTTATTGTGATAAATCGTTATTTTGTACAACTTGCGGTAAAGTATTATTAAAAAGAAAAAGGAATTCAACTATTAATATTTATATTACCAGTCTCTTCCAATAACATCTGCGTTTCTTTGTACGAATTAGTACATAAGTACGCATAAAGTATTTAAGAACACATATTTTTATTAAAAAAGTCTTTGTCATATAAAAAAATTACTTATAAATTTTTATTTTCAATTATTACTATAAGTCGACAATAATCATGATTTGCATTATATAATCACAGAATTGATTTTCGTGCATTTTGTGAAATGATACACACACGTCATTTTGTCAATATCGAATTAATGTCAAATTAATGTCGAATATTTTCACACATTGACTAATCTGTGCTTGTGAAACAAACATGCTTGTGCTGATTCCCACTTTCTTTACCGTTGCACTTTTTCCTGCTTTTGCCGACGACTTACGCTTTTATTAATATACGATATTCTGATAATTGCATTTAATTGTCATCTTTGCGTCGATAGGATGCAGGGGCATTTTGTGTCCTCATTTCGATTTACAATCTTAATTCTTCTTTCAACATAGAGATCTTTGCGACAGATATACCTATTTAGTTTTATAGCTTTTTATATAGTTGATAATTTATGGTCCTGCCGTTGTCGTAAAATTAGTTACTAATCTGTAAATATTTACACATTCTTCAGACACATGTCATATTAATTTGTATCTTGAAAAATAATGTTGTAAATAATATAACTCGTTTACATGACTAGGACTTAGGTTATATGAAAAATAGGTGGTGCTAGTCTTATATTGTATAAGGACGTTTTAAATCTTATACAAGAGAACCCATTTTCCAATGTGACTGATCATTATATTATTATGCTCCGTAAACTCTTAAATTCTTATTTATATATATCATTAGCGTAAAAGTAATTATTAAAGTCCAGTTTAAAACAAATCGCAAGTTCTAGAGACTACAAATTATATAATTTGGATGAAGTAATAAAGTAGAAAAAAATGTTGCGTACGGCATTCGTGTACACTACACTTTTGGGTGGGGCAAAGTTCTATAGAGAATCTGGCATTGTTCTTTACAGACTTACTTTTATTATGAGACTGCATTTTCAATCGCATTTACCACGGGGAGTGCTCTGAGACATTGTTCGGATTAATTCCAGCCGCCAAATTTCACCAACACACTCAAGGTACTACCTACACTAAATCAATACTTGGCGGTCTACCAGTGTAATTTACTAAGTATTCTTCATTGCACTATTTTTTTCTGGAATCGTTTATCACTGGCGATTTTCACGGACCGATTCGACTAAGGGATCTTCGAGTAAAGAGCCTACTCTTTTTTAAAAGGCCGGCAACGTACTTGCAACCCCCAGGTCTTCCAGGTGTTCATGGACAGCAGTCGGCACTTAACATCAAGTGAGCTGCATGAAGTTTTGCCCCAACTTCTATAAAAAAAGCGAGCAAACGTGGCAAACGAGCACACAGTCCACCTGAATGTATTAGATACTGTAGCCCATAGATATTTACATTTATCCTCGGTTAAGAATTAATATGCAGATGTGTTACCTCCCCAGTAGTGACTAAGATGGAATGCCTAGTTTCCAGTAACGAGGGTCCACGGTTCTCTACACTCAACCAACATATTTTACGCGTGTACATATTGTGTGAGAGCGCGGTCCTACCCCAGTCAAACCAACTCATTCACGCTATAACCATAACATACCTAAAGCATGACTCTACTACATATAAATGTGTATGTAGCATATGAACAATTTAAAAAATTTATAATTTCGACTTACGTAAAATATTTTATTTTTATTTTTCAATTGAAACCCCCTCATGAATATGAAAAGCGTCCGCTTGGAGATAGTAAATTGTTCACGGCTCGTGCTCCCATTTGTTAAAAGCAGCAAAAGTTACAGATACTGCAAAAATATGCAATTAGCTGCATTTCGATGCAAGTTTATAGGTGATTGTTCCGTTTTTATTCAAAGCGTATTACGAAACTCCAAAAGGAATTTTTTTATGACTTTGTTGTTTTATACAATTATTTTAATGATATTTCATTACATCATATCACTAAAATATCTATATAAAACAACAAAGTCATAAAAAAAATGGAAAAGATAAAATACGAACTTGCGTCTTCCTTTAACTTTCAATGTACCATGCTAGTAACAATAAGCCACCGAGGACTTCGCACCTAAACAATGTTGCAATGATAATGGGAACAATTTTTGTTATAGCTTATTTTAAGTTTAAATCTGTAAGCCTTTTAGCCTTAAGTTTATGTATTTTTATCATAACATATTAATTACTTTATTGCATAAATAAATGTAAACCTATTTTTCGATTTAAGATTTACTAATATTACTTTGTTCACGCCTATTAGTTGTGTTATAAGTGCTGAAATGTTAAATTAATTTATAAAGGTATTGTTACATACGGATACAGTCCACGTTCAGAATTATAAAAAAAAATAGAGAAGTAATATAAATTAGCATTAAAAAATTATATTTAAGATTTATTGCTTGTTCTTTTCTACTTCACAATATATCTACTTAATCATAAGATTGTTAGAATAAATACTTTATGGTGCCTAGTCCTTCGATATTTTGCAAATAGTTGGAATTTTGTACAAGTGCCCTCTCTCCATACATGTGTTGCATGTTATAATACGATATGTTTAAACTTGAGCGAAAAGTTGATTTTACTGTCGATATTTCAATTCTCATGAACTGTATATATATATTATTTAAGTTTAAAAGTTAAGGTGTAAGTTGTAACTTTATTACTATTTACATTACATTTTGTTTTGAATGTTTGTCTTTTTGAGCACTTAGTTAAAAACTGTAGTTTTTGGAGGGCGGTATGTTTATTACATATTTGATATTTTTGCTAGATGCCGGTTAGCCCTATATATTATCTATATATAATACAATGTATCTCGCTATAGTTTTTTTTTTGC